TACGTGCATTAAGGCCGCTACGTGCATCAAGGCCGCTACGTGCATTAAGACCGCTACGTGCATTAAGGCCGTTACGTGCATTAAGGCCGCTACGTGCATTAAGCCCGCTACGTGCATTAAGGCCGCACGACTGTACAGTAAATAAATAGCTTCGTTGTTAATCAATTCTAGATCAGTCTCGATTTGAAAAATGTATGTGTGGGAAACCTGCCAAGGCTGAGCGTTCAGTGAGCTAATTAAACTAGAAGTGGACAAAAGAATGTATCGATGCTGGCATGAACTTAACTAAAACAAATATATCCATTTTCAGTTTGGTCCCGACCGGTTACGATTTGATTAACTTATTCGTAGAAAACCTGCTCATGATCTTGGTCGAAAAGTGATCTTGGTCGTAAGTTGAGTATTTTTGGTGAGAATTTCTCCAGTTACAATCCGCATTTCTTTTAATTAAATTCGAAATCAAATAGTAAATTCTTATGCGAATATTAAATTTTATTTCGACGTGGTCAACCTTCCACGTTTCTTCTAACATGAATTGGAAGATTAAGACCAACTTCATCTTTCTAGCACACTCCAGGCAACACAGCTAATCAGTAGAGATAGATCGTCGTCATCTACGGTAACCACCGACGCTACGAGTCAACGAGCATCTTTGCGTTGCTAACTTCTAATTAACTGATCCGTTGGTGTATAATAGATTCCGTCTCCTTCAATTATTAGGACGTCTTAGTCCTAGGCGTAGGCAATAGTCATATAAAAAGTTATAATATATTCGCAAGGGTTTAGGACAGTGTAGATTCGGAAACTTCTAATCGTATAATCTGGCGATTGCACCCGTTTCACCAGATGTATTTTAATGGTAGTTATCCACTAAAATATCTCCGAATTATGAAGAAAATCTAGTTAACATCTCGAAGCATACTAAGCTATATTATAAACTATTGCGGGTAACGTTCCCTTCACTCTAGCAAATTTCTTCCATTGAGTTGCCATCGGGAACATTTTGATCCCGTATCTACTACAGGCAATGTTGTTCTGTAAAAAAAAAACAGCCATTCCGTATCTACTGCATCCCGTCTCTACTTCAGGCTACGGTGTGTTGTAGACGACATTCATCCTGTGTTTCGCAGTCCGTCTAGTTCGCCATTGCGTTGACGGGACATTACTGCTATGGCAGCGCAGCCCGTACAGTTCCCATTAAGAATGTCCACCGAGAGCTACATTGATCGGATTATATGAGTGCTGTTTTCAGAAAAAGTATGGTTTCAACTGCGAATGATTCAAAGCGGTAAGAGTAGTGTAAAAACCTGGGTCGAAGCTGTTAATATAAGCCTAGTTAGTATTAGAAAAGCGTTTAGACTTTAGGGGAAGCAACAAGAACGATAAAACTGTACTAAAGGCTTGAATTAGCAAACCTGGAGCGCAGCGATCATGAATTTAAAACTTCGCATGGAAGCTCTAACTCCTTCACTTTGCTCCGTAATCTGTTAGAAGTCAATTCAATTTATAAATTGACGATTCCTCATAAGACTGCGCCTCTTGTGCAAGACTATAGAGTTCGGCACCTATAGTCACTGCATCGTATCGCTTAGCTAAATTGCTGTCAGCCGCGGGTTCACTACGTCCATCAGGCTAGGAAAAACTGGTCCCAATTCCGGTGTGAAGTTATTCAATTCAGGCGACCTAAAACGTAATCATAATGATGGAAAATGCCTTATTTCGGTGAAGATGTGGTCGACGGTACCATCGCAACAGCCCGCAGGAATAATTTGAACCTCTTTGCTTACCGAGCTTGTTGATCACATCGTGCGCACGTAGTTCAGCTACATGTACATCGAAAGCAGCTCGTATTGTAGAGTTACTACGTGATTGTCGGGAGTCTACAATGGCGGGACTTCATTCCCGCCATTGTACATGTGACTAAATATTGCTTAAGGCTAACTGTATCACTCATGCTAAATTTTGGTGGCTCTACTACTTCACGGTGGTCCACATACCTGTTATGCAGGCGCTGTTTACCATGGTACCTTGGTGTCGATTCATTGCATGATGTATCAGCAGATGAGGAAGCCACACTAACTCCATGAGTACTATCAGCAGAGGCCTCAGAAGATGAAATGATAATTTCTTCTACTTTAACAATCTTCTTAGAATTGTGTCTCTTCTTCTTATTTGAGGTCTTTTTCTTGCTTGGAATAGAATTGCTAGAGCAACTAGCAGCACTCTGCACTGCTTGGCCTGACTGACCAGCTCCAACAGTTGATGACGCTCTGGGCAGTTCTCCAAAGTCACTTGATACAATGTGCGTGCAGCGCGAGTCTGCATTCCCATCCCCGTGATCGTTCATCATGAACATGAGGTGCAGGCGGAGGAGGGGGCGCCGCAGCTTAGATTACCAGAAGTCCCGGGTGGGCTTCGCAAGTCTCCGCGGAACCACCCGGAGACAAATGAAAAATATATTGAGAATATCACACATGTTTGTGATTTGTGCAGTTTCAAAACTACAAATAAACAAATTTACTAAGCACGTGGTAACTCATGACAAAAAAATAGTGCAATTTAAAATTTGTATTCTTATTTTTTTCCATTAAAAATTTTTTAAAATGGAAAATTTTAATCTTAGAATGATAAGAATTTTTTTTTTCTAGTAGCTATTTCGAACTATCGTCAGTCCTGAAAATATACGGTCCAATGACACGATTTTAGATCTGTGAACAAGGCACGAAAATTAGGAATCGGCGACAGGCCACATCAGGCCAACTCTTCAGTGCCGACATCACTATGTTATGTTTGTCAATTTGTCGTCATTTGTCATTGTTTGTCAGTAAGAATGAAATTTTCAATGTTCCCATAACTTGTTCACTGATGCCGACTTTTTTTCAGAGTCTCCATTGTCGAGCTATACCTGCAGAAGTTCTTCGAACTACTGGTTGGCCGCGCCAACGCACCTGGCAATGGGCCTTCGATGGTTGTAAAAGACGCATCTGGCGACTTCAATCTGCGGGGCCTCACAGAGGAAGTTGTCGAGACCGAGGAACAGGTAACGCGTAATCTTATGAACGTAATGAATTTTCACCATAAATATGCGTTTAAAAATTACTTTTTAAAGAAAACACTTCTAAAAAATCCAGTGTCTCTGATGTTTGTTACACATGTACAATGAATTTCTAATTTTATTTTCAAATATAAAAAAATTAATTTTAAAGTTTTTTTATTACATAAAAATTTTGTAAATTTTCAAAATTATTTATTCTGTCAATTGATTCGTGCATTGTCTCCAACTCTACGCATGTGTGCAAAATTTCAGATCGATTTATAGACAGCCGAGCCTGTCACTAAATTGATCTGATTTTACGCAGCTACTGTCACTGCTGCAACGAGGCGAGATGAACCGGCAGGTGCGACCTACCCCCCGGAATGCCCGCAGCTCCAGGTCACACGTCATCTTTAGAATCGTGGGTGTCCTTTGGCCGTCCCGTCACGAACATCATCAGCTGATTTACGGCAAACTAGCTCGGAGTGGCATCATCGTAGGCTCGGAGTGGCATCACTATCGCGGCTGACCACCTTGATGCATGCTCTTAAAAACTGCTTGTTAACTCATTTTTGTAAATTTTCTATTCAATTACACAATGAAATTGTTTTTGGATGCATTACTGCAATGACGTGTAATATATAGTTTTCTATGCGCAGAGAGTCGAGTATGTGGAGGCGAGTTCTTCAGATGGCGACGTGGCTGCGACAGGGGCGCACCTCCTCATCGTCGACCTTGCCGGGTCTGAGAAGATGTCGAACCCTGGCGGCCTTAAGGACGAAATCTCGAATGAAGGGATCAAAATTCAGCTGGAGGCGTCGCTGGGGGTGGAGGCGCCGGTGGAGGAGGAGGCGCCGGTGGGGGTGGAGGTGTCGCTGGGGGNAGGAGGGTGAGTCGTCGCTATGGCAATAGCTGATTTCAAAAAGCCTACCACCTTTTCATAATAGTTTATTTTAATAGTTATTTTAAATCAGTTACATCAGATTAGATAGTTCAGATTATTACGTCAGATAGTCCAGATTGTCGTTACGATTGTCAAGGTACATAGGTATCTAAATACCTGGTCATGCTTAGGGTGATTCACTAGGAGTGGTGCTGGGTGATGGGTCCTGATGGGTGATGTGGTGCTGGGGCACGGGTGATGTGGTGACTGATTTATGGTGGTGGTGAGTAGTTTGCGTGGTGTAGCCAGCAACTTCTACTAAGCGGACGCGTAGAAGTGAAACGTCCGTTTGCCAGGCCAAGCCGGATCTTTATGATACACATGATGGCTAAGATGCATTTATTTTTGGATAATGCACTGTGTAATTTACGTCTGTGAATGCATGCATATTGTATATACTTGAATTATCCTATATAGATGTAATGCTATGACTTTCCTGACTCACAAAACAGCAAAGTCCCGTGCCGTATCGCAACTCGAAGTTTAACACACCGCTGCAGCCGGCACTGGGAGGAAACTAAGACAGTGATGATTGTCAACGTACGTCAACGAGACGCACACTGGCAAGGAAGGCTCAATACGAAATAAAAATCACTTAAATTATCTTCGTTCTATTCTTTATCCTTGAAATGGGAAAGGTCGGAGTAAGCATTATTCTAGTTTATACGAGTAATCCATTCAGCATCGGGTTGAGCGCTGAAGTTTTTAGAAGTATATTTATCTAATGGCTGTTATGCTACCTGGAACCTCACTTTATGTGGAGCATTGTAGATGCCAGCGAGATCGCTTCTTCCCAATACTGAATTAGCCAGCTGGTGGAAATGTCTATGACCGCGACACGTCGGAAATTTAGTAAATAGTTTCGTACCCTATTAAAGAATGCCCTCGATGTCGTTGCTACAACTTCTCGTAAATGGAAGTCCCGCCATTGTAGACTACACACAATCACTTAGTCACTCTACAATACGAGCTGCTTTCGATGCCTATGTAGCTGAACTACGTGCGCACGATTTGCGCGACAAGCTCAGTAAGCAAAAAGGTTCAAATTATTCCTGCGGGCTGTTGCGATGGTGCACGATGGGACCGTCGATATCTTCACCGAAATAAGGCATTTTCCATCATTATGATTACGTTTTTGGTTGCCGAACTCAATAGTCTTGCACAAGAGGTGCAGTCTTATGAGGAATCGTCAATTTATAAATTGAATTGGCTTCTAACAGATTATGGAGCAAAGTGAAGGAGTTAGAGCCTCCATGCAAAGTTTTGAATTTATGATCGCTGCGCTCCAAGTTTGCTAATTCAAGCCAAGCCTTTAGTACAGTTTTATCGTTCTTGTTGTTCCTCTAGACGCTTTTCTAATACTAACTAGGCTTATATCAACAGCTATTTATGGTTTCGACCTAGGTTTCTACACTACTCGTAACGCTTTGAATCGTTCGCAGTTGATACCATAATTTTTCTTAATACAGCACTCCCATATAATGCGATCAATGTAGCTCTCGGTGGACATTCTTAAATGGGAACTGTACCGGCTGCGCTGCCATAGCAAGCAGTAATGTCCCGTCAACGCAATGGCGAACTAGACGGACTGCGAAACACAGGATGAATGTCGTCTACAACACACTGTAGCCTGAAGTAGATACGAATGAAGTAGATACGGGATCAAAATGTTCCCGATGGCAACTCAATGGAAGAAATTTGCTAGAGTGAAGGGAACGTTACTCGCAATAGTTTATAATATAGCTTAGTATGCTTCGAGATGCGAACTAGATTTTCTTCATAATTCGGAGATATTTTAGTGGATAACTACCATTAAAATACATCTGGTGAAACGGATGCAATCGCCAGATTATACGATTAGAAGTTTCCGAAGCTACACTGTCCTAAAACCTTTCGAATATATTATAACTTTTTATATGACTATTGCCTACGCCTAGGACTAAGACGTCCTAATAATTGAAGGAGACGGGATCTATTATACACCAACGGATCAGTTAATTCGAAGTTAGCAACCGCAAAGATGCTCGGTGACTCGTTACGTCTATAGATGACGCTACGACGTGGTTACTATAGATGACGACTATCTATCTCTACTGGTTAGCTGCGTTGCCTGGAGTGTGCTAGAAAGATGAAGTTGGTCTTAATCTTCCAATTCATGTTAGAAGAAACGTGGAAGGTTGACCACGTCGAAATAATATTTAATATTCGCATAAGAATTTACTATTTGATTTCGAATTTAATTTAAGGAAATGCGGATTGTAACTGGCGAAATTCTCACCAAATATACTCAACTTACGACCGAGATCATTTTTCGACCAAGATCATGAGCAGGTTTTCCACGAATAAGTTAGTCAAATCGTAACCGGTCGGGACCAAACTAAAAATGGATATATTTGTTGGATGGAATTAAGTTCGTGGCAGCATCGATACATTCTTTTATCCACTTCGAGCTTGCGGTCCTACATTTATGGAGGCAAACATCGAAACTAACTCGTAGTGTTGTCGTATGCTTCTCAAGATGCCTTGTTCCTCCACTGGAGGGTTATAGAACCTCGCTCGTGCAAATGAGAACTACATAAAAACTGGATGTGGACTTCATGATTTGGAGGTAAGCAGGAGGACAAAAATTGTCTAAATTTCCTGACTCTAACGCCAACATTCCTCCCTCTAATGCAAACTTTCCTCCCTCTAATGTAAACTTTTCTCCCTCTAATGCAAACTTGCCTCCCTCTTAATGTCAAAAATTATTTTTATAGATAAAAAATGAAGGCATATGCAATTGAACTTGATAAGATTTATTCTTCGTTTACATTATATGTTAGTCCCAAGCGTTATACAAAATTTACATGCACTTATACCGGGAGTGAACTCGGGAGAGATGATCGATTTTCGTTATAGAAGCAAAACGAAATTACAATACATACCCTACCTCAGGATTCCGCTGCCAAGATTTCCCAAGCGACCTCCCAGGCAGACGCTACAAGAACTTCAAGACCAATTCTTCCAGCTCTTCATTGGAAAGCTTGCCTTGCTGGCGACACGATGAAATATCTCGTGGTCTGGTTAGTTAATTCACTTCCCTGATGAATGGGACTAAAGAAATACATTTCTTCAGTGTTGGCATTAATACTGTGAGGAGAATCTAAATGAATGCATTTGATATAGCGTAGATATTTTACCCGTAAGTAATCTGTTAATGGTCAGATCGTACTTAGTTAATGGTTGGTAATGGGAAAACTTCGGAGTTATGTGTCCTAAAATAGCACTATGTATCATCCAGAATGTGATAATAAGTCATCGCTCCAGTTTGAATGTCATTAATCTTGAACTTTGGACTAAACAAAACACAGAATGACGGGTGGCTGAGGCCGAATATTCAAATAAAATGTCGGGCACTGCTCTCCTGCATTCTTAAGACAAGTTACAAAAATATATTAACGATAGTTTTACATTCCCGAAACGCAATTCCAGGAATGTTCCACAGTCTCCCATCGCTCAATGAGCTCAATGGTCTACATTTTGTTCGCTATCTCATCCCTCGAGGTTTCATTTATGAATGATCACTATAAAAATTCATCGCTGACGTATGACGGTGCTGTAACTCATATAAGAGTCAAGCTCTCGTCACAATTACATTAATGCAAATAAGCTAATCAGGTAAGTGCTCCTCCAGCAGACTTCTTAAGAGACTTGTTGCCCGCGCACGGCATAAAATGTCAGGCGCAATACCTCCTTGCCCCCGCGTGTGTCATGAACGGCATATTTCCCTAAGGACCCTCGAGATTATTAAATATAATGAACGAATATATTCATATCCTGATGACGAAGAGCAGCAATCAGAATTAACCTGGCATGGATTATCATTTTTGCAATTTTAACGATAGGAAGTCATTGTGAAACTTCCCGAGACCTTAGATCTAATTGAAATAGAATCACACCTCATTATTTCTCATTCGATTCAATGTTTTGCATTAACATAACTTTTACGGCTTCTTTTATTGTTAACTCCACAAAACAAAGATTTTCAACGATATATCTAATAAAATGTCTGATCTTCAGCGCCACCAGCGCCTCATCTTCAGGTTCAAAAGATGTAACATACAGGCAGTATTTCGACGTGATATATTCCTAACAACATTAACAACATTTAGATGCGTGCACTACTTCGAGATAGGTGCCGCCTAGGACTCGGGAGCACGTAAATCAGCTTCTCTGTTCGCTTCGGCTCATGGATAGAAAGGTAGCCTCTATATGCAGCTTGCATGGTCGGCAAGACTATAAGTGACTTCTCATAAAATGAAATCAGAATGAGATTCTGATCAGAAGCAGATTTCGATCAGGTGGTCAAACAGACCCAGAATAACTTTGCGCCAAGCGTAGGGACTCTTCGTCTGAAGCCTGGACGGTACTCGAATTTTATTGCGATAAGTATCGTGGAAACGCTCCCAAATATCCACTATATTTTCCAAGTCCAGGCTTCAAATATATACACAAAAACTTTGTGACAAATTTATAATACAAGTTTAAAAGTTTGAAAATGTAAATGACTTTTACTACATTTTGAAAAAACAAATGAAGTGCTTATGAATTTAATTGAATATGATTTCTGGAAAGGAATGTGAAAATTTCCGCATTATTTATGACCACTTCATTGACATGTTCGTTTGCACGAATATCAAAATAATTTATTTTAAATGTCACTTGTTTACTTTTTTCAGGCATTAATAGTACTAATTTCCCAATGTAATTATGTTTTGCGTAAATTATCCAGAGCATAGTTCATAATTCAAATGTATACATTTGTAGAGAAGCTGTTGAACTGGATCATGAATAGAGTTTTGAAATAAGTGAAAACGCTGCAAGTTCATATTCAGCTCGCACAATTTGCATCCCTTCTTCTTGAAGGTGCATTAACACACGGAGGCCTCACAATACTCACCTCATTAAATA